CTGCTGCAGTTGTTGCTGCTGCTGCTGCTGCTGACGACCCACCAGACATTCTCCCCGAACTTGTGCAGCTTCCCCGGGCGGACCAAATCGAAGGACTTTGCAATCCGCTTCGAAATGCAGGGCAGCTGCCGCAGCGCCCCGCTGCTGCCGCCACTGATGACCAGCCGCAGGATCATCACCACGATGAAGCACTGCAGCAGCAGCAGCAGCAGCAGCAACGGCAGAGCGGCCATGAGGGTACGCTGCAGAGCGCACGCGCTCTTCGCTGCTTTCGGCCGTCCGCTTCAGCAACGCCCCAGTGTACGCTGGAGGTCCGCCGCAGCAGCAGCAGCCGCAGCAGTAGCCGCAGCAGCAGGAGCAGCAGCAGCAGCGGGACTCACGACGAAGACGTAGACGACATCGTCGAAGGAGATGGAAGGATTGAGAAGGTATTGCTTCCAAAGAGGACCTCTTTCGGTCTCGACAAGAAACTGGAGAGTGTGGTAAACAAGAGTGCCATCTTCCATGCGAATGGACTGGAGTTTGCTGCTGATGAGCTGACGCGCAGCTTCCAGCTTCATTGTGGGGCTGCTGCGCAGCAAACTGCTGCTGCTGGGTATTTAAATGTATTAAATGTGCTGCTTCGGGCCAGGGGGCCCGCAGAAAGCTGGGGAAATGGCTCAAAGCCACAGAAAAGGCGGACTTGCAAGTGGAAACGGCTGTCCGGCGGGCGCGGGGCCGGCGGGGCGGCGCTGCATCGCAGGCAAAAGCTGCGGCTCCGCGTTTTTCTTGAAAAGCAAATAAAAAGAAATCCAAAATGTCACAAAAAAAAGACCCAAAAGGCCACGGAAAGGCCACGGAAATCGGAAATTCGCGCCCGCCGGCTCTCCCACCACCTATGTGCGCAGCAGCTCCTCCAAGCCGCTGCAGCGAAAACTAGTCCTGCGAGTGCTGCGAGGAAATTAACGGCAAAGACATTCAAAACTGACGCAAAGTTTGAACTATTTGGAACCTGCAGCACTGAGACAAGCACCACAATCCCGCAGCAACGCAGCACAGGCACCTCTCCCGTCCCCCTTGCAACACTGGACCCAGCGCAGCGGAAGCCTGCGCAACCTAAACTCCAAGCCCTGCTTTTGCTCCTAAGTCTTTTTTCTAAACTTTAAATCCGTAGAAAGCCGCAGATCAAGAAGGGGGGGAAAGACATTACCCGCGCTTCCCGCCTGCGCCTGCGAATAGGGGGGCGCAGCCGACTCGTGCGAGGTGTCTGTGTGGCGCCGGGCTAACAAGCTTCTGCGGACATTTAATGCGGCAGTTGGCATTTTTAATTTGTTAAAAAGACTAAAAAGACGCTCAGATAAGGGGCATTTGGCCTCTATCCTCTGCCGCATTCTTGCAAATGCAGCTTGAGGCGCTGCCACGCCGTTTCGGGCCAAACTCTGCGGCCGCCTCGCCCGCCTGCTGCAGCTGAGATATCGCCACAGCCAATTTTAAATAAGTCCATTAAATGTTAAGCACTTGCAAAAGAAAGAAAGGGATAATACAGAGCAAGGGCTGTCAGTTGCAGAGTGCAAGTGCAAGCCGCTCTTTACCATTTGGCAAATACATGTTGTGCAAGTTCATGTTGCCATCTCTGAAATGGACACAGAAAATACCCAAAGTCCTCAGTAGAAGTATCTGCATGCGCTGCCTCTTATAATAGTTTGCTGCACTAGTTGCTAAGCTTTGGTGCGGCTAGCTGCACTGTTAAACCCAGATCCTCAACTGCTCTTCCCGCATGCAGCAACTGGGGATAAACATAAGATCTTAAAAACAACAAAAAGCGACAGCCCCTTAAAGCCTGCAGGCATTTAACAACAAGAGCTGTTAAATAATTCCTAGTGGCTGCTTGAAGTCCCTCACGGTCTTAAGAAAGCAGTTGCAGAACCTACTTGAACGTAGCATGGCACCTAAGGTTGCAGGCCTCATCTGCCTGCTTAGTGTGCAAATTCGCCTGCTACTCTGGCTGCTAGCTGCCTATGTATTGGCTAGACGCGTCTGAACTGCATTGTAGTAGGGAAGTGAGGCTAAGATTGATATCTGAAGAGAAGTAAGAGCCCCGGTGCCTTCGAATTATAGACATGGCGGGAACAAAGAACTCCAACAGCTGGGCCAAACAAGCATCAGTCATGTTCATAAGTGTTTGCATTCCGTACTGTAGGGCTGACCAGGCAGCGCAGGGGCTGACCTTTTGTACGGACACACTGTGAGAAAGGGCATGTTAGCAGAGCTATTGCTACGTCCAAAATATTAGCAATCGACTAAGTGGAGATTCAACATTCTGAAAGAAGTAAGGCCCTTGGTAGCGGACAGTCAAGCCGCCTCAGGTCCACTAAACTATGGTCAGCAGTTAGCTGTCAACTACGGAAAGATGATCGATGCCTAAAGAAGATTTTTTACAATCTTTTGGATGCCTTCAAGAGAGACGTCACCACGATATGTAGGGACCCCCCTAGAAGACATAATGAAAGCGTAAAAGTAGGCCAGAAAGAGAGCTCCTAGAACTTACCAGAGGATAATCAAACAGCCGTCATAAGCAATGGCCATAGGTCTGCCATGAAAGTTTTGAAAGTAGGACTTGGAGGCATGTATTGAAAAGTATAATCTGCTCCAAGGGGGCAGACATATAGTCGACCCTCACTTTTTGGTGCCACTAGTGGCTCGAGTAGAAGATTCGATAAATGCAGCTAAAACAGCGGCTGCTTTGTTGCCCTCATGGAACAGGGCTACACGCGCAGGTCCAAACAGAATACTTGCTGCGGAGCTGCTGCAGAGCAGAGTGGGCAGATGAGGCTATTTCTGGAGCACCAATGATGTAGAGGATCGAATAGTGAATCGAACAATTTCTTTTGCAGCCGGGAGAGCTATGACAGTTGGCCCTGTCGTCCTCCAAAGTTTTCTGGGCGCTGTCAAAGAGGCGTGGAACGAATCTCAGTCGGTGCACTTGAACATAAACTTGGAAGTGCCTGGCAACAATCTATTGGGGACAGGAGGGCACCACGTATCTGCCAGCCGGTACAGTAAGCTGGAAGGCGATCAAATCCCTTGCGAGAAAAAGCGCGAAAATTCCTAAACCTGTGTTGAACCCCTTTACGGGGATTGACAAGATCTTTGATACCAAGTACGCATGTGGCTGGCAGAACAGGACATTCTGAGGGGATGAAGACCAGCATTAGATGGTCAAAATATCGTGGAGGATACACTGAAGAACACTAACCAAGTATGCACGCTGCCCTTGGAGACCTCAACAGCGGCACGACATACGTTGTCAATGTGCGTAAGGGGCTGCTTGCTCGTGTGCACAATATTGGGTTCTGTGAAAAGCCAAAGACCCCCTCTACACGGCAAACTTCTATGGTGTTGCCTTGGCGCTCTTACGGCCTCTGTGCAGCTTTCCCTACATCAGGCGTGAGTGTACAACTGGTTTCAGAGAATGAAACATGGGCTAGCGTGGTTAACTGGCGCACATCAGCTAAGTAGCCACAGTTTCTCATTGGCTAGCCTCTGTCGCCACCGACTGCTGCTCAAGCGCAGATGGCTTCAGGGCTGCTGCGCTCTTGCATAAGGCAATGTGAATTGTTGCAGGGGTCGACAGAGTGCCAAGGCTTGTCTCCAGCCTTGCATCTTTCATTGTCTCACTCTGCGCCATCATTATGCACAAAACATGCCCTAGAGTTTGTTTTCCGCTTTTGCTTAGGCTCCCGGTGCCACTATTGTTGCCCTTATCCTTCAGTGTCGAAGAACATGGTTCCAGAGGATGACGAGGTTACGTCTGAAGAAGTGATCATCGTTTGCGTGCATTGATGATCAGTGAAAGTTCGTGCACCTGATTCGATAGTTACCAGTGGAAGTGCCTACTCGTAGGTCAAGGAGGCAAAACCTGCTGAACTTGACCTTGCCTTGTGTAAGATGCCGTTTGTGTGTATGCTGATTTTCATCCATCCCGGCGCGGCTGTTGAACTGCCACCACAAATTGCACTCGATAACAAAACATGCACTCTCAAATGATCGGCGCAGAAAGTCAAAAAGTTGGCAGTGCTCCTGGAGCGAATTCCCCGGTAATAGCAGATCCCATGTCTTCCCAGGAATCAGACCATTGTGATCCTCGATGTGTGGCCGGCAGTGCGCCACGGTGTGTAATGGTATGCGTCTTAGCTACAGGAACTATAGCCTACGGTAAAGAGCAGAGAAAGGCAGAATAGTTGTACGACTGGCGAGTGATTTAGGGCAGAATTGTTGGTGACCTAGCAGACATTGTTTTAGCGCTCATTCCGCGCAGGATACTGGACCACCGCCACTAGATTTACGACTGGCACAGAGCTTCTTCTAGCTATTGTAAAAAGCTCTGCATTGTAAAGGAAAGCTATCGCGCAGTTTTGGTTAGATGCAGGCAAGGCGAAGGTGGTACATTTGGCACCTCAGTTAACGTATAGCTGGGTATCTAGGATGCTGCCGTCAAGCAAGCACCAGGCCTCCTACAGCATATGCAGAACTAATTTTGGCATAGCGTGAATGTGGTCCACCAATACTGGTGTGTTGGTGAGACAATGGCCTCGTCGCAAAAGCACTGTTTCGAGCGTGCTCTCGGCGTGCTGAAAAAGATTTGCTGGCGTAATATGAGGGCCCCTTTGCAGTGCCCATGTTTTGCCTGACTGATATCCTAAATGCCAGATAAACTTCGTATTATAAGCAGCTTGATATTTTATTTTCTTAAGTTAGGTCGACTGCGCAAGCTTTTCGTCTCCCTATCTTACAGGAGCATGCATCATCAGCCATTGTTCGGCCAGTCGGCAAGCCAGTATCTGCATGGCAGAATCAATTACGTTGCAGCTTGCGAGGCTTTAATCGGTAATTACTCATCATCTCTTCAATGAGAGAATATGCTGGGGATGCGCGGCAGCAGACACTTTCAGAAGATACTATGAGAAGCACCGCCTTGTTTCCTCTTCGCCGGCTCGCAAGGGGTGCGGTCCTAGCTGTTGGCAGAGCGCGGTCTCCTCCATGTGGTAAGGCTCTTCACCTGTGCCAGGCAAAGCTTTTACTTGCCTCCTTTCGAGGTGCGCTGCCTCGTTGACAGAGTTGCTAGGAGGGACTGTCTGCTCCCGCACTAGCCCGAGAAAGTGCTCTTCTTCCCTCGCCGCAATGGAGCACCGCACATTTGTCAGGGTCTTGGCAATGCTAGAGTCAGTAGAATCAGGCTGCTACACAGTCATGGTAGAGCTTGAAATTTGCTGTATCTCTGTATGTCTATACCTTGGAGGTAGCGAGAGGCTGTTCGTCGCCTCTCAAGGCGCATCGAGTGGTCATCATCATCCCTGACACGTGAGCACGATGGCCCTTGAAAGCCTTGGCCTTGTCTGCGTCAACACGTTTCTATGAGCCTGCAGTAATATTTGGTGGCCGCATATCGCGCCAGTCGAATTGCCTTGTGTGGAGGCGAGTGGTTGCCCGTGGACTGTGTGGCAACGAGTAGCTGCCAAGCGCCGCCTGGAGATTAGGAAGCAACCGTGGTTGGCACATCGTACGCATCTGCTGCCGACAA